GGCACCATTCGTAGAGGCAATGCTGCCTCTGGAGCCTTCAAAACTCCTCCCAGCTCCACTGTCGGATTGAACCCACTGCTGCTGAATGTCCAGCTCCTCTCCCGCCGGACTCACAGTGACCCTATGGGACAGGGTGGAACAGCCCCTGTGGGTTTCCGAGTCTATAACACTTTATGGGAGCAGAGAACCTCTTCTTTCTCCCTAGGAGTGGCTGGTGGCTTCGAACTGCTGACTTTCTGATTAACAGTCCAGTGTTGGACCTCTATGTCACCTGGGCCCCAGTCAGAGTGTGGTAGTGGCATAACCTGGTGTCAACTTGCGGAGGGGTATAGCCTAGCCTGTCAATCAGGTCGCAGCTTGATGACCTCACTAGGAGGCATCACAGTGAGGCCAGATACGCACAGACTCTCTGCTTGACATGCCTGTTGGCAAGCCACATGGAGCCATGCTAGTGACAGCCAGAGCCCTGGAGCTGGGGGAGCCATGTGGAGACCCATGCCAGCGCTGAGATCCTTCCACCGCCACCACTGGATCTACAAGACTTCCCATCCATGGCCTGTGATCTTCCAGCATTTAGCATTATTTCATGGCTGCATCAGTCTAAAGAGGAATTTAAGGACTGGTACTGGACATAGGGGCTAATACTGGACTTATGGACTTGATCTGGACTGGGCTGGGGTGTTTCTCAACATACTGTTGCTCTTGTAAATAAAGCTCTTTCTTATATACATATGAGAGTCCATGAATTTGTTTCTCTTGTCTACCCAGACTAACACACATGGTGACCCCTGAAAGACAGGAGAAATTCCCCATAGGGTGTCCAAGGCTGTACATCTCTCTCTTAAACCCCCCTCCCCACAACACACAGAAAACTCAAGCAATTTAGTTTCAATGGCTTTGTTTCGCCTTGAAGTAGACATATGCACACACTTGTATACATGAGCCCCAGGGGCAGCTTAGGCTAAACACTGGGCTGCTAATTGAAGGATGGTGTTCAAACTCACCAGCCAATGAGCCTGTCTGTGTTCATAAAGATGTACACATGGAAACACTACAGAGCAGCCCTGTTCTGTCCTACGGGGTTGCCATGAGCCAGAATGGGCTCAATGGCAGTGAGGTGTTTTCCCTATCTATCCATCCATCCATCCATCCATCCATCCATCCATCCATCCATCCGTCTATCCATCCAGCTATCATCTATCCATCCATCCATCATTTATCTATCCATCCATCCATCCATCTACCCATCCATCCATCCATCATCCATCCATCCATCCATCTTCCCACCCATCTATCATCTATCTATCCATCCATCCACCCATCCATCCATCATCTATCTATCCATCCATCCATCCATCTGCCCATCCATCTATCTATCCATCCATCCACCCATCCAGCCATCATCTATCCATCCACCCA